GTTAACGCACAGTCAGTATCAAGTGAATTTGCGTTTATTGTAAATGAATATTTAAAAATTATGACAGAACTCACACACTCGTGATATTTGCTATCTAATCATCTGAATGTGTTGCCCCTGTTCATGCAATCATGTTTCATTCAGCTTCATTCTGCTTTATTTTGCTTAGATTTGATCTAATCTAATCGTTTTGCACAGACACGGATTTTGCCCTCAATGCAGCCGCAAGCGTGAATAGACGAGGACTACGAATAACACTGTTTTCCCTCCACATTGAGGATGCCATTATTTACCTTGCCCACCTCTCTATTCTTCACTTCTTTTCCACACTCCTACTTGCGCACTTCTTCGTATTGTATTGCATTATCTTCGGTTCTGGCCGCACTCCCTTGTCTTATTCGCAAACCTCTCTTACCACTCGCATTTATTAGAAATTTCAGCTATTTTTAGGCTCGTGTCGGTTTCTGCCTTATCCTTCTCTATCAGCGTTTGCGACAGCAGCATCAAACTTAAATGGCTTCTAGGCTCGTCACTATTAGGTAGCTGCTAAAAAAGTCATAAATTTCATATCAATTGTTCTCTTGGGGTCCTCTTCTCCCATGTAATCATTAGTCACAACTCCATTGTAGCCGCTCCTGTTCTATCAAACTAAAAGTATCTGATGTTAGAAATAGAATTCTTGAGGAGAGAGGATCATAGGGGCTTCGCTGAAACTGATTAGACGACTGTCACGGAGCTAGGCGATACGTCTGGCGCTGCAGCAGAAATCACCTAACGGACCAAATAAGCTAAACGCTAATTCGGCTGGCAGAAAGTGTGCGGTAAAGCAAGCAATGTCTTTCTGCATTTGGACCTAGAGTGCAGGTGGGCGAGGAGCATAAATGCCCGAATCGCGACTTGGTGTGCGTCCGTTGCACTGACTGCCTCACCATTTGATTACCAGCTGCCTGTGACTGGCAGCCAGCTGTCAAATGTGGGAGCAAATTGTGATAAGAAATGCAAGCATGCTTATCGTCTGCAAAATTTACAGCTCGAAAGAGCCACTATTGTTGTATTCGATGCATATTCAGGGATTAGAACTACATTAAATTACCCTTGAGTGATGGCAAAATGAAAACCTCATAAATTCTAGTATCAACTGCCACAATCACTTATAGCATGATTATAATAAGTCGTCTGCCTTTTTTGTGTTCTAGTGTGCGAGACATGGCTTCTGCCCTTCTATATTACCTCAAATTGCAGCAACTGATTTATATTTTTCATGATTTGGGCTGTATGGAAGCTTAAATCTAACCAAGCAGGTAGAGGCGAGCGCCAGTGCAGTGATTAGAATGCTTGAGCTAATAACCACAAAGGCAGAAGCTTCCAGCAACTCCAACAGGATGGATTTGCTACGATTGAGGGTGCACCTATTATTTCTTCACTAAGAGGTAGCAGCGCGCGTTGCCAGAGGTCTAATGCCCACCCCAACACCCGTGCATGATCATTACATCGAGGTGGGGGAGTAACCCAGCAGTCTAGACCATTCTACTCGCACTGGTCCACATTTTCCTAGATATCAAGTTTGGAGCCCTACCAATGCCGCTTAACTCGGCCTAATCAACCCCCAATCCCCATGTATTTATATTATCCCTTTATCTATCTTCTTCATAATTTTCCTTTGCTACCATTCCGCTGCATACTATTTCACACCTTCCAACCACATGTTTTGGATTTGCAGATCTCCACGTGGTCTTCTGCCTTGCTTTGGCTTATTACGACTTCAGTAGAGAGCATCAAACCTCAATCTTGATTACGTCAGAAGAAACAAAGGTCGAGGCAAAGGATGCA